GGGGGGGGGGGCAAGGTCAGAATGTGGGACTGTAAAACTGTCAACAATAAGTAAACTGATTTCTCAGAAAAACTTTATTACTAGATTTTCAATTTTCTTTTTAAAAAGAGCAATTAAAATCCTAATTGAAATGGCATTACACTTTCATAGAACACTGGGGAGGGCTGACAGTGCTATGAGATAGACTCCTGCTGTCTAGGGACAGACTTGATTGCTCATTCATTCAGATCTTGTGTATACCTTTCATTCAAGTTTTATAATTTCTTTTTAAAAAAATCTTACCAATTACTTATTAAATTTATTCCTCTATTTTTAAAATTTGGGGTAATTATGAATAGGACATTAGCTTCTTAGAATAGCATAAATATCTCTGTGGAAAAAGACAGAGTCTAAAGTAATAATACAGGAAGTATATATACATGTTCACCAAAAGGTATGTGTTACAATGTTCATAGAAATATTATCATAATATTGTAGTAATAGTATATTTGTAATATCCCCAAACTGGAAACTACCCAAATGGCTGCCATAGAATGGATAAATCAGTTGTCACATATTCAAACAATGTAATATCGTACAGTAATGAGAAAAAGCAACAAAATGCAGGAAACAACATGATGAATCTCCACATGGATGAGCAATATAGAGGAGTAAAAGAAATAGGACACAAAAGAGTTCAAGTACACTTAGATAAAATACAAAATAGGCAAGTATAATGTATGCTATTAGAAATCAGGGTGAAAAAAGAGAAAAGGGGGAAAAAAAGGAAGGAAAAAAAGAGAAAAAAGAAATCAGGACAGTGGTTACGTTGGGACGAGTGAGTATGAGGGGCTTTTCCAGGGTGCTAGCAATGTTCCGGTGGTTTGATCTAATGTGTTAATTTACACTGAGGTGTTCAGCTGGTGAAAATTAATCAACACATTACATTTCTGATTATCTATTATACTTCAGTTCGTAAGTTAATAATGATAATAATATAGGAAGAGAGAAAACACTGGGCCCTAGAGTGAATGCCATACTTTCTTAGCTCCTGCTACCTTCCACTTACCTTGCCCAAAAGCTCTTCAAATTCTGGGGACCATTCTTGCATCAGTGTGTCAATATCAGGCATGGGCCTAAGAGGAGAGAGGCAAATATGAATAAGAAACATGGACAGGAGACACCAGCACTCTCTGCATCAGGATATTTGGGATGAAGGGAGATTTGATATCTGGCACATTATGATTTTAGGAGAACACAAACTGGGCAAACCACACTTACCCAGGGTCTGGGGTTTGGAGAAGCTGGCTAAGTAATAATACCAGATAAATCACAATCTTTATGTCTGCAATCTCAGCCAGTAGCTGCCAGGATGCACAGGCTCTCAGGTTGATCAAATATGTCCTCAGCCTTTGGGCCCTCTTCTCAGAAACAGTGGGCTCCTCTCACGGGGTGCAGGTCACCAGGGGCTACAGTGGTGAAGAATGGGGTGCCCCTTACCTGGTATAGTGTACAGTTGCGGGAGGCTTACAACGATGTAACTCCGAGATGCTCTCCACCCATGTGTCAATGGCTTTAGGATTCTTTTCTGCGTCTTCCAGGCTCTTTACTTTCATGTGTTGCTAGGAAAACAAGAGGAAAGCCTGACCAATGGCACTGAAGAAGCTCTCGTTTTCACAGAGTGACTCATCATAAACTGCTATTTCATATACAAAGTAACTGATGAAAAAAGAAGCCTCACAGTGGCCAAATGAAGACTATAGGAGCCCAGTTGGCATGACTCAGCAGTCAAGTGTCGACCTAGGATCCAGGAGATCCTGGTTTGATTCCCGGTCAGGGCATATGCCCAGGTTGCAGGCTCGATCCCTGGTATGGGTCGTGTAGGAGGCAGCTGATCAATGACTCTCTCTCATTATTGATGTTTCTATCTCTCTCTATCCTTCCTCTCTCTGAAATCAGTAAAGACATATTAAAAAAAAAAAAAAAAGGCTATAGGAAACCCTGATAAAATTTTCTAGAGCCACGGGAAAGGAGCAGATCAATAAGATAGGACTGACTTGAAAGATACAATTTCACAACTACTGGGGTGGCTACATAAAAGACAGTAACAAGTGCTGATGAGGATATGGAGAAATTGTAACTCTCATTCATTACTGGTGGCACTGTAAAATGATTCAGCCACTTTGGAAAACAGTTTGGCAGGTCCTCAAAATGTAACCATAAACAGTTACCATATGGCCCAGTAATACCACTCCTACGTATATATATCCAAAAAATTAATAATATATATCCGTGCAAACACTTGTATGTCTTCATGGCAGCCTAATTAATGAAAGTGGTAACAACATGGGGTGGGGTGGAATGGGTCACTGGGGAGAAAAAGGGATATCTGTAATATTTTGCACAAAAATTTAAAACTTAAATTAAAAAAAAAAGTGGAAACAATCAGTGAATGGATAAACTAAATGTGATGTTTCCATACAATGGAATATTACTCAACCATTAAAAAAATGAAGTAGGGTCTAGGAGCAGTGGGGAATGAGTGACTACTAATGGGTACAGGGTTTCTTTCTGTAATGATGAAGATGTTCTTAAATAATGATGCTTCTACAATTCTGTGACTATATTAAAAATCAATTTTAAAGGGTGAATTTCATGGTAGGTAAATTATATCTCAATAAAACTGTTATTTAAAAGACAGAGCTGTCCTGAAACCATAGCCATTGCTTTTAGTAGGCAGTAAGTCAACTTTACAAACCCCAGCAAGGCCTCCGCTCCAGCCCTCTCCCGCTGGGGCCTGCACTACGCAAGTATCTTACTGTGATGTTGTGTTGTTTGGAATTCTCTGTTAACCACAGCGAGAGCACTGTAGGGTCTGACTGCTTTGTAGAAGGCTCATCTAATACCAAGAGGCCAAGGTTGTCAGGCTTTCCATCAGGACGTGGGACCTGGTTAGGAGAAAAGTGAGAAAACAGAAAAAAATGAGAGGGACATGAAGAGGCCATATATCTTGTTTCCAACAAGCTAAAGAGGAAGAATTCTGCTCCATCACTATTACTAGCATCAGAAAGCAGCCTGTGTGTCACACTGCACTAAAATCCTACTTAGAAAACACATGATCTGCAGGGCCTTAAACATAAAGCTGAAGTCATGGATAATTAAGTGGCAAATATATGACAATTTTTAATATATAATATTTAATATATGACAATTTTTAATAGCAATGACTATAATGTGGAGTAGAGAGCAAGGTTAAGAACTCTAATGAGCCCGGCTGGTGTAGCTAAGTGGTTGAGCATCGATCTAGGTAGGATCCAGATCGCTGTTCGATTCCTGGTCAAGGGCACATGCCTGGGTTGCAGGCTCAATCCCAAGTACGGGGCATGCAATGACTTTCATCATTGATGTTTTTTTTCTCTCTCTTTTCCTCTCTGAAATCAATAATTTAAAAAAAAAACAAAAAAACTCTAATTAAATGAAGATTATATATCAAAGTAGCCAATGCTTGTCAAGAAAATTAGTGGAGCTGGTAGAGTAATAGGGGGTCAGAAGAAACAACTATGGATTCATTCTTAGGATGTTCTGACTGTACCTTTAAGAATGCATCAATATCCCCAACAGCTGGGATAAAATCAGGAATGAAAGGTTTCAGTTTGTGGTCCAGGTCAATCAACTGAGGTGTATACCTAGGAGATATTGCCAAGGAAATATGGAAACAGAGAAACTTACTTTACTATTCAGGTTTTAAAAATCTAAGGAGGATGGCCTTGTCTCAGACTATAGGTAGGCAAGGGCAAGGTAGGGCCTGGAAGGTTATGGTAAGAAGGCTTAATACTCACCTGCTTATATATTGGAAGAGTTCCTTAATCTCAGCAGAAACTGGCAAATGCTCATAATCTGCAGGGTCATAGGCTCTGGAGAAAGAAAATGAGTCAAGGTTGCAGGAGAGCAGGTGCTGCCGAGCCCTGGTTCAGCCCGTTACTACAACCACAGGGCACATGACTAACCTAGTTTCTGCTCCGCCCACATCTGCCTTTCCTGGGTGGTTTGCAAGGCAACTTTAAAATTTATTAAAATTACCTCTCAGTTATCTCTGACAATAGAGAAGCACAGGGCTGCAGAAAATCCAAAACATAATTTTTAAAAATTTTAGAATATAGCAGAAATTGTTTCCCTTCTTTTGAATGAAATATTTGAAGAGAAAAATGGAATGAGATTTTAATTTCTGGCATGAAAATAGTTTGCCCAGAGAAAAAAAAGTAATTTTTACAAAGATGGTTTTCACAGTGTTACTTATAGAAGTAAAAAATTAGAAACAAAATACACATTTGAGTAATGGCTAGGTGTGTTCAAGTTGAATATTGCATGGTTACTAAAAAATACTTGCATTGACACATGAAAAAACATAGAATACATATTAATTATAATTAAATAAAATGTAATGAACATTGACAAAACATGTATGACTTTGAAGGTTATTAAGGTTGCTCAGGGGAGAGTTAATAAAAAAATTAAGTAGATTAAGGACTTAAAGTTTACATTTCCCCGATTACAATTTATGATCATGAAGTAAGCTGGGAAGCAGGAAGTCAGTCTGGTATTAAACATTTGCTTCGTTTACTTAATGTCAACCTGCTGCTGGATAATGCAAAGGTAGTTATTTTTATTTTTATTCAACTAATTTAAAAAATAACACATGCACACAATACAAAATGCACACAAGGAAAAGTTATGTCTCCCTTCCACACCTGTCCCCTTGCCACCAAGTTCCCCTCCCAAGAGCAATCACTATTATTAGTTTCTAGTGCATCCTACAGGTGGTCTATGTAATATTTATTTTACACACCTTTTAAAAATTTAACAGCGTCTCTTGGAGATTGTTCTTTGCCAGTGCAAAGTGCTGCCTGTTTTCAATGGCTAGAGAGAATCCTACTGACTGGTTACAGTATCATTTATTTAACCAGTAATTATATTTTAAATGGATGGGTCTTAGAATCCATTTTGATTAAAACCTATAGGGATGGGTCACGACTAATCTAACACCAGGGTTTGGAACAGGTTGAGGGGTTTTTTTACTCACACATCATTCGGGAACATTTTTGCCTCAATGTGGGGCTCCTGTAGTATCTATTCTCTGCCTTTCCAAAAAGGACCTGAGCGTAAAGTTTTCTACTCCAGTGCATGTATGTTTTCCTTCCTAAATAGAAATGCTTTGGTATGTACATAAATTTATTTTCTTTTTCCCAGAATGTGAACTTTCTGAAGTCAGGGACCACCATTTAGATTTACTCAGCAAATCCTCATGACCCCTGAGCCCACAAATAGTGCAGATAGTGCAAGTGACATCGTGAGACTCACTGAGGCAGTGGAACCAGAAAAGAATGAAAACTACTTCTGCTGGGTGTCTGAGACACTTGAAAACCCTAAACAGAGATTAAGAGAGATGCTGGAATTGCACTTTTCACTGATGTCCTCCTAGTCCGTGTTTTGAAGGGTTTTCCTTCTTGTCAAAGTGCTTTCCTCACCCTTCCAGGGGAGCTCCATGCTCTTCATCATCATCATCTTCATCGGAATCAGTTTCAGATGAGTCATCATCATCGTCGTCATTTTCACTGAAGCCTTGCTGAGGTGTCAGCTGCAAGGCCTTCTTCTTCTCCTGGGGCAGGGCAGAGCAGGCATATGTAGGAGGCACACAAGGAGAAGCTGAGCGTGCCTATGCTGCTTCCTCCCAGTAGTCTCACCAACACCCTCCCACCTGGCACATCACCAGAGAGAAGGCAGCACTCCCCAGGGCGCCTCGAGAGCCATCTTCTCCTCCTGCTTACTACAAACCGGGTCCCCACTTTCTATAACCATATTCTACTTCTCTGCTTGAGGTTTAGGTATAAATTTTATCCAATATATATATCTATTTTACCTGTTATTTAGGAGATCCTGAGACCTCTGCATAAACCATCCAATAGATTCAACTCAAAAACTTGGGGACTTTTGGAGAAAGGCAACTCTAAATTGTTATTTTGGGAGGAAATGAAATGGGAAGACTTCAGGGGATCTTAATACTCAGAAAGATCACAGGGAGGAAATCTAGTATTTAATTTGCAAGATTGCCGAGTAAGCTGCTTGTAACTATCAAAAGAAGAAAGTTCATAATCAACCCTGTGTCCGAATTCTGGTCAGCAGTTCCAGAGATTATGGGATTTCTATTTCCATTCTCTCTAAATGGTGTCTAACTGATCCATATTTCCCTTCCCTTCCCCCGTAAGTTAAATGCAATAATGAAGCCCTGGCCAGGTGGCTCAGCTGGTTAGAGCATCATCCTGATACACCAAGGTTGCAGGTTCGATTCCTGGTCAGGGCACATACAAGAATCAACAAATGAACGCATAAATAAGTGGAGCAACAAATCAGTGTTTCTCTCTCTCTAAAATCAATCAATCAATAATTTAAAAAAAAATGCAATGACTATACATTGTATCTCAAAATAAGAGACTCTTCTGTTATTAGCATTACAACCTACCTTTCTGAGCTTCAGGTTCTCTATGTACCATCCCACCCTCTCAAGTCCATGAGAAGGGGTCTGATGGTGCTTGGGGTTTGCAGGGGCAGTTGGGACGGGGTCCATGTCTTTGCCTCTGTGGCCTGGAGCCTGTGGAGTGCCCTCACTTAGGACCTGAAGGATGACCAATTGGCCCCCTTTAAAAGTAGGTTTTGAAAGCTTGGTTTCCATACGCTATATGACTTATACTGAGGTTAATAGATTTTGGTTCTAGTTTTTAAATGATCTAATATTTCTTTCACAGTAAAGCAGCTATTGGCACATAAAATTGTGACACATTACAGGACATCAAAAACTGCTTTTGGTCACATTTTCCTCTAAGCATAACACAGGTACTATAGATAAAAATAGATTTTAACTAATCTATATAGTATGTGTGACAGATGACACACAGTTGTAGAATTTATTCAGTGACTTAGTCTTATTGGTACACAATTGATAAAAATCTCCTATAGTTCTTTCGTAATTCAAAATCTGCCAAAATTATCCCTGGTTCCATGGGAAGCACTTTGGCAAAGGGAGCTTTGTACAAATATTGTCAATTTAAAGATTATTCAAAAATGGATCCTTTCTGCTGACTCTGGGTACATACTAAACTGGAAACATAAATGCGCCTTGAATACTGACCACATCATGATGAAGACTAGAATAATTCAGGCTGAATACATAAAATTAGGTCAATCTAGGAAAACTGTTCACTTTTCTTTCGTTGGCTTCTTCAAAGTTGTGCTTTGTAAAATCTCTGATCTAAAGGTAGAGGACCTTCTATACCACAAACAAATGCCTGAAAGATGAGTCTGTGGTGAGACGTTAAGCCAGCACACTACTCACAAACTGGGCTGCCTTAAAATGCTACCCATAGGCTTTCTGTGACATCAGCCTATGTCACTAGTGCTTTCCGCACTGCCTCACACATTCCCTCTCCCTGCAGTTTTAAAAGCCCCTGTTCTTTGGGGGGGTCAATACGGGGGAGGCTCCTGTTCTTAAAGGACAGCTACGCCGTAACCTTGGACCGTGGGCTACGGCTGAACACAACGGTGGTAAGCAGAGCCCACGGGCCATGCAAGGCCTCACCTGGCCTAGAGCTGGGGGCACTTTCTGTCTTTCTCTCGGAAGCAGGGTGACTCTCCAGGCTCACAGAACAACAATCAAGTGACAGCTGGGTCCTAAGACTTCAAAATTAAAGTCTTTTTCACAAAATAGTGGAAGTACCACAAGTGTCAACAATAAACAAATGCTGAAAACAGTAAGTCCAAACTTGCTGTATTAACAAAATTACTTGGAGTGCTTGCTAAAAACAGAAATTCCCAGGCTTTTACTTTCAAGACTCTGATTCAGTAGTTCTGGATGGAGACTGGGAATTTGCATTTAAAAAAATTAAGTGTCCCCAGTTGATTCCTATGATCAGTAAAGTCTGCAAAACACTTGCCTACATTACATGAAATTCCTCACCAGAAAGTCAGCTGTAGCCCTGGCCGGTGTGGCTCAGTTGGCCGAGCATCGTCCGGTGCACTAAAAGGTTGCCTGCTCGATTCTTGGTCAGGGAACACACTGCACAGTTACAGGCTCAATCCCCAGGAGGGGCGTGCAGGAGGCAGCCAATCAAAGTTTCACTCTCATGATATTTCTCTCTCTCCCTCCCTCTCTCTAAAAATGAATTAAAAAATCTAAAAAAAAAAAGTCAGCTGTAATAGTAGCCTTTATTCCTGAAGGACAGTCCAGTCTAAGGCTCTTTCTTCCTGACTGTCCTCCATGAGCTCAAAGGTACCAACCACTGAGCGAATATTCAAGGAATGTTTACTACTGAACTGGTGTCATCTCTAACTGCTAAAAAGTCAAAGCAGAAAATGCAGGAGAAGCTGTGGGCCGCACCGCACCTTGCTCTCTTCATACTCATCGCTGCTGTTGTCAGCCATAGTCTTGTCCGGAAGATGGGCAGGGTGAGGAAGTCCTTCAAAGAAAAAGTTTCCCTTTATGTCATTGTTAAAATAACTTTTACAGACAAATATTTTTAGTTTGTAACATTTTATAATCTGATCGTTTTATGGAACACGGTTTATATGAACTGAGCTCTAGCCATGGCTCTGTCAACTCAATTCAACATATAATTACTAAGCATTTCTGTGCTTAAGGCATTGGGTTAGACATTATACTAACTGATTACCTGCTGTTACATAAATAATACAAAACCTGTCCTTAGTTTACAAATTGGTAAAATAAGGTTAGTAATTAGTAAAATGAAAGGAGTGCTGGAGTTATAGTCAGAATACTGAGTTTGAAGGACAACTCTATCACTTGGACAAAATGGCTGAACTTCTCTGAGTCTCAGTATTCCCACCTCTAAATGAGGTCAGTAATACTTCTCACTCAGGGCTGTTGTAAGGATCAAACGAAAGAACTTAGATAAAAGAAACTGACCCAGATCCTGTCCAATTATAGTCACAAATATAAATCTGAATCAGTGCCCATAAAGTGACAAAAATATTCTGAACAATTAACCCAAAATATTCATAACCAGATGTAAGATATTAACTGGCATGATTTCTAAATCAACTAAATTCCAATTAAACACCATTTTCCAGCCTACTAAGTTGCTCAAAATGAAAATAAATTATCATGTCCACAGCTGGAAAGATTAAAAACATGGTCGAATCAAAAACTTAGGTGTCTAGGTATATACATACCCACAAAATTAAAAGCATTGACTCAGATGCATATACACCAATATTCATTACAGCATATTCACAATAGCCAAAAGATATAAATAATCTAAGTGTCCAACAACAGATGAATGGATAAACAAAATGTGATTATATAGACAATGGAATTATTCAGCCATAAAAAAGAAGAAAATTGTAAAATATGCTACAGTATGAATGAACCTTGAAAACATTATGCTAAGTGAAACAAGCCAGACGTGAAAGGATACATACTGTATAATTCCATTTATGTGGTACCTAGAGTAGGCAAATTCATAGAGACAAAATAGAAGAGAGGCTACCAGGGGCCAGGAGGCAGAGGGAGATGGGGAGTTATTATTTAATGGGTACAGTTTCTGTTCAGGGTGATGAAAAAGTTGCAGAAATATAGTAGAGATAGTTACACAACAATATGAATTTATTTAATGCCACTGAACTGTATACTTAAAAAAAGGGTTAAAATGGTAAATTTTGTTAGGTATATTTACCACAAAAAACCACCAACCAACCCTAAATGTCACCCTTGATTCCTACCTCAAGAGCCAAATCCAAACCATCAAGTCTTAATGATTTTTCTCTCTGTTCTCAGCTTCCCCACTACATCCAAGCCACTACCACTTCAACTCAGTGACTACAGCAGTCCTTCCAGCCGGCTTCCCACTTCCACCTTCCAGTCCATTCCACACGTAACAGCAGCACAGCCTCTAAAGCTCTGCTTTATGCCTCCTGCCTACTGCTGCCTACCTCCTGCTTGCCTATTCTGATATCAGTCCCTCCTACCTCTTTAAAGTCCTCAACCTACTCAAATTCTTTCTGGCATCAAGGCCTTTTCACATTTCATTTGCTGTTCCATTTTTCTGGCCTACTTTTCCTCAATGTCTGGATCCTCCCCAACTTTCAGTCTCAAATTCCACCTTCTTACATCATCCCTGATACCCTAGCAACAGCAGGTCCCACTCCTCACCACCATTCTCCATAACATCAAACTATTTGCCTCCATCAATGCACTTGCCACATTTGTAAGTATGTTTGTTTATTCGTTTGTCATCTGTCTCCCATGATTACAAGCATCAGAGTGGCAGGACCAATGTCTTTTTTAATACCTACATGCACAGTGCCAAGCATAAGGCTGACATATAGTATGTATTCAAAAATGCACTGTTGAATAAATGATGGTATCAAGTCCTCTTAAAATATCCCATTGATATTTTTATTGGGATTGCAGGTTAAGTGCAGGTTACTGAAGCATCTTCAAAAATGAGCAAGGAGAGGAAACAAAATGGTGGCATAGGTAACAGCTGTACCCGTCGCCTCCCATAAACACATCAAAATTACAACTAAAATACAGAACATCATCACTAAAAACCTCCTGAAATCTAGCTAAACAGAAGCCCTACAACCAGGGAACTGAAAAAGCATCCAGACTGGTAGGAAGGGCGGAGACGCGGACAGATCGGGGCTGGATCGAGGCCCACACCCGGTGCCACAGTTTAAACCCGGGAGGGACATCTCGGCAGTAGAAGTTTCCTGGAGGAGGGAGGGGTCCCAGCCCCACATCAGGCCCCAAGCCCAGGGCTCCAGGGCCGGGAAGAGATGTCCCCACAACTCTGGGCTGTGAAACCAGTGGGACTGTCGCTGAGGGTCACGGAGGCTGTGGGAGCCCCAGTAGCTCCTCTTAAAGGGCCCGCGCACGGACTCCCTCAGACGTGCTCCCTCTGAGCCCAGCGCCGGGCAGCAGCTTGAGAGGAAACTGGGACACTTGGGGAGGAACTAACCTGCCTGAAATTGGGGCGAGAGCTGGAGGGGCAGCTTTCTCCAGGCAGAAGAGCTGGCAGAGGCCATGGCTCCTTTGGAACGTCCTCCCCCCACACAGCCGCCAGGCAGGAGCCATATGTGAATCGCCAGCACCTGACTCACACCTTTGGCCCCTCCCCACCTGCAAGCTCATCCAGGCTATTTCCAGGGGCTTTTCTGTGCTAGTGGCCTCTCGAGCCTCACGCTTAGGACTTTCCTAAAATCTCTCAAACAAGCAGCAGCGGGCCCCATACAGCTTCATAAGTGGCCCCAGGCCTGGCAAGCAGCAGCCTGTATTGGTTCATAGCTTGGCCTCTCCTGGGCACCTCCAAGCCCAGCATAAGTAGCTGCCAACTACAGTTTGCTGTGTAGCTCAGGCTGGGTGGCCGTGGGCAAGGCACTGGCACAGGCTGACTTTGCACCTCCTGGGAGGCCCCAGAGACAGTGCACCTGATGGTCAGACTTAACCACGCTGGATTACAACCCTACCACATCCATGAGTGACACTCAAGAGGCGCACTTGGTGAACACCGAACCTCCACTGAAGTAAATCCTGCTCCATAGGGGTGTCACTAGCACAGCAGCTCTTCGGCTGCAGCTGCAGCTGATCCTCACAGCTGATTGGCCAGGGGGCCAATTCCTCCCAGTGATGCCAACAGCAACCAAGACTCAATTACAACTGGTCAGTGCACCCAGCCCACACAGGGGAGCACCTAGAAGGCTCAGCTCAGGTGACTGGGGAGGCTGAGCCACTGGACCCTGCAAGACACCTACTACACAAAGCCAGTCTACAAATTCCAGGAGACATAGCAGCTCTACCTAATACAAAGAAACAAACACCTGGAAGCAGCCAAAATGTGGAGGCAAAGAAACATGTCATAAAAGAAAGAACAGAAGAAATCTCTAGAAGAGGAACTAAATGAAATAGATCCAAGCAAGCTAACAGATACAGAGTTCAGAATCTTGTTTATAAGGATGCTCAAGCATATTATTACGAAAACAATGAGAAAATCAATGACATAATAAAGTATCAATTTGAAATGAAGGCTACACAAATTGAAATGAAGAATAATTTACAGGGAATCAACAGTAGAGGACGATGAGAATCAAATCAGCAATTTGGAACATGAGGAAACAAAAACACCCAACCAGAAGAGCAAAAAGAAAAAGGAATCTAGAAATATAAGGAGCCTCTGGGGCAACTTCAAGAGGCCCAACATTTGCATTATTGGGGTGCCAGAAGGANCACCTAGAAGGCTCAGCTCAGGTGACTGGGGAGGCTGAGCCACTGGACCCTGCAAGACACCTACTACACAAAGCCAGTCTACAAATTCCAGGAGACATAGCAGCTCTACCTAATACAAAGAAACAAACACCTGGAAGCAGCCAAAATGTGGAGGCAAAGAAACATGTCATAAAAGAAAGAACAGAAGAAATCTCTAGAAGAGGAACTAAATGAAATAGATCCAAGCAAGCTAACAGATACAGAGTTCAGAATCTTGTTTATAAGGATGCTCAAGCATATTATTACGAAAACAATGAGAAAATCAATGACATAATAAAGTATCAATTTGAAATGAAGGCTACACAAATTGAAATGAAGAATAATTTACAGGGAATCAACAGTAGAGGACGATGAGAATCAAATCAGCAATTTGGAACATGAGGAAACAAAAACACCCAACCAGAAGAGCAAAAAGAAAAAGGAATCTAGAAATATAAGGAGCCTCTGGGGCAACTTCAAGAGGCCCAACATTTGCATTATTGGGGTGCCAGAAGGAGACGAAAGAGAGCAAGAAATTGAAAACCTATTTGAAAAAATAATTACAGCAAACTTCCCCTACCTAGGGAAAGAAACAGACTTATAAGTCCAGGAAGCACAGAGGGTCCCAAACAAGAGGAACTCAAAGAGGACCACAGCAAGACACATAATTAAAATGCCAAAGGTTAAAGACAAAGAGAGAATCTTAAAAGCAACAAGAGAAAAGCAGTTAGTTACCTACTAGGGAGCACTATA